GCCACAAATTCTCCTAAATCACTCGTACGCACAACTTAAGAACAAATCTGTGCGTACGAACGGTTCTTGCATGAGGCCCAATGAATTTGATGGGTGATAATAATGCTTTCTGGCAATCTGTTATGTTCAGACACACAACACCAGCTTATTTGTTAGGTTCGGTGCTTGAATGAGTCATAGGTGAGTTCTGAAACAACAAAAATCAAATAAGCTAAGAATGGTTGTCCATCAGAATAAGTATGAGTAGCAAAAATAATTTTAAAAATGTGGCTCTTTGAAAGCAAAACATAAATAAATGATTGTTTGTTTGAAACTTTTGCACAGTTTTGAAGAAATTTAAAGTTATTAGAGGTTGGTACTGATGTTAAAAGCACAACACTATATTCTTAGGTTTTCCTTTTTGTATTGTTGACAGTGTTTAATCTATTATGTTTTGATTGATATAGTTTAGTTACATGTCCGAAATATGTGACAACACATAATCAACCGGTGTGATAACAGTAGATGAGGATTTTGTCTGAATGCCTGTGATTCAGCCGTAGGTCAGTAGGGGGCGAACACAGGCACTGAAGAAGGTGTATAAATACATGAACTTCCTGGTTTTCCGGTAGTGTTGGTTTTCTGTCAGCTTGAGTGACAATAAACCTCACTCAGATCCAGAGTTCTGGTGTTGTATGGTTTGATTCCTTCTACAAATCATTTTATTTAACAATGGTGTTTTTAATATCGACTTCAGTTTATTGAATACGAATTTTCTTACAGTTTGATAATAGGCAGATCGATTTTTCCTTACCTTGTTGAAAAATAGAAAAAGTGGTTGATGTCAGGACTATAACGAGGCTTCGGATGTTCAACATGTGATGTTCCTCTTCAGCAAAAATGTGAACCAACTGAAAAGACAAATGAAATAGACGGTTCTGGTTCTGGCAGGGTGTGAGGAGGGGTGACGGGGTGGGAGGGTGTTAGATCCGAGACTGATCGGTACCTGACTCGTCAGGTCCAGGGCGGAGGCCTGTGGGAAGCTGCTGTAGATCTGTCCCAACATCTTGCTCAGCTGAGCCACCATCGGCCCGAAATCATACAGGAGGGTTCGGACCGATTTATCAAATACGGCACACACTGCCTGAAGGAAAGAGGGAGGATGTGAGTCTGAATACAGACAGAGATTCATCATCCTGACACAAACTCAAAAGAATAAAAAGAACCTCTCACCTCGACCACCTCTGAGTCATGGAGCCATTTACTGAGGATGGTCTGAATCAAAGAGAACACCTGCTGCAGAACAATCACAACCTAAAAAAAACAAACAAGAAAAACACATTCAATGACTTGGATTGTGTTTTTATAGAGTTTCATTCAGTGTGGACTCACTGGGTTTTGTGCATCCTGTGAGGGTGTGAGTCTGGCTGCTCCCTCTGAGCTGTCTGCACATCTGTTCATGTCCAGAGTGCTGAAGAGGCTGGACAATAGGCCCAGGATGTGGATGATGCTCTGTTTGTTAGTGGCATTGGGCTGCACAGATAAAAAGATGCACACGCTTTACTGTGATCACGAGCAGTTTGTGTCGATTATTTTCACTTCATGATAATTTTGTTTCTACAAACGTACCTCTTCATGGGCCTGAGCGTCCAGCTGCTGGATGTGAGGGGTGATGAGAAGGTGCAGTCTGCCTAAAACCTCCTCTGTTGGCAGAGCAGACAGCAGGAAACCCAGGGCCTGCATGAGCCACATGCACTGGCTGCTCTGCACACACACACACACACACACACACACACACACAGTTGAATGCAGTCATGATTGAAGTAATGATGAAACTGTCGTCTGCACTGCTCACTCACCTTATGAACATCCTTTACCAGCACATCCTACAGAAACATCACATCCACAGACGGAGGAGTTACATCATTGCTAAAAAAAAATAACGTGTTGACGTCTGATTAGCTAAAAAGTGTCAACTTTAACCTGCGACACAGTAAGGATGTCCTGAGCGTAGGGGCCGATGTCGTGCCTGCACTCCCTGCAGATCCTCTTCAGTGTGGAGATACTGGACACAGACAGCTCAGCCTTCCCCAGGCCCCGCAGCACCATGGGTAAGATGCCTCCCAACATGACCGGGTGGTCAGCCAACCACTCCGCCAGAGACCCTGGTCAGGAGGAGGGAGGGAGGGTGCAGGGAGAGGACAAGGCTGTGATGCCTGACAACTGAGCAAGATCTACATTGGATGTATTTTGCAAGTTTTTTAAACCTGCATCCATCCATCCATCCATCCATCCATCCATCCATCTATCCATCCATCCATCCATCCATCCATCCATCCATCCATCCATCCATCCAGCCATCCATCCAACCATGCATCCATCCATCCATCCATCCATCTATGCATCCATCCATCCATTCATGCATCCATCCATCCATCCATCTATGCATCCATCCATCCATTCATCCATCCATCCATCCATCCATCCATCCATCCATCCATGCATCCATCTATCCATCTATCCATCTATCCATCCATCCATCCATTCATCCATCCATCCATTCATCCATCCATCCATCCATCCATCATCCATACATCATCCATCCACCCATCCATCCATCCATTCATCCATCCATCCATCCATCCATCCATCCAACCATTTCTGTATATGGTCACAGTGAAAAGCTGGTATCTTTCTTCAGCAGTCATTGGATGAGAGGCAGGTTACACCTTGAACAGGAACCCATAATGAACAATCACTCACACTCAAGGTCAATTTAGAGTCACTTTTAAACCTAATATGTATGTTTTCAGTCTTTGGAAGGAAACTGGAACACCTGGAGAAAACCCATGCATGCACAGAGAGAACATGCAAATTCCACACAGGCAGCTGGGTTGTGAATCTGCGACCATGTTGCTGTGAGGTGACAGCTATAATTGTAACATTTAGATAAAGAAAGATAATCTATTCCAAATAAACAATAAGGAGAAAGGTAATATGCTGAGGTACATACCAATGGTGTACATGACTGTGTCAGCCAGCATCACATTACTGATGTTGATTCTGGGGATCAAACCAATAAGACCAGGAATAACATCAGAGTAGTTCACGTCGATAGTCTCAGCTATGGACTGGAAACCAAACAATAGAGCCTCAGTGTCCTGATGATGAAAAAAAAAAACAAACAGTGTTGTTAAAACAAAAGATGAGCACAGGAAAGACAACCTACAGCTACACACACAGGAAATCCAGCAGCCTCGGCAACAACTTTCTTGCTGTTCAAGTGTCAATCAAGTTTAATCAAGTGTTGTGAGCAAACAAACTGCACTGCATCTTAAACTAGTAGTGATTTAATATCTGGTGGACCAGGGCATCGAGTGATGATCCTTGCCTTTAGGAGTTCTGAATATTTTTGGCTCTGTTTTGTTTTAAGTATCGTTTGACATGTGGGAATTAAATTCCCTGATGGGGTGTCTTTTTATTTTTATTTATGTAACCTTTATTTTACCAAGCAAAGCATTAAGAAAAACTTCTTATTTACATTTCCAGTCTGTTTATTGTTGTTTTTTCCAATGTCCCCCCAAAATTATTAACTCTTCCTGTTTGTTTTCTCCTTCAGTAATGAAACAAAATTTAGACAAAACAATTTCATGATTATGCTGCAGAAGGATAAAACATTTTTATATTAGGTCCTTCAGATGCTGAGAACATTACCTGCCACACTGCAGACTGTTGGGGGTTCATCAGGTGTCTGCCCAGCTTGTCGTAAAGATTACTGAGCAGCTCTGCTCCCAACATTTCATACACATACATCAGCGTGTCAGAGATATCCACCCTGGGAAGAAAACCAACCACAACACAGTTAAAGACGCTAAACAAAGCTCCAAGTCACATCAGCTACAATAACTGAATACTGAAGAGATAGTTTTAGAGACACTTTGGTCATCTAACATCATCATCAGGCCCAAATTTAAATAACAAACTACAGCTTTTATTATGTCAGAACAGGGAGATCCTATTCCTAGAAATGGACTTTAAATGTAAATGAGTATAAATTTAGAGTCACAATCCAGCTCTCCTCTTCTAAAACCATCTGCTATGAAGGAGTTGTAGAAATATGGTTAAAAACAATAAAACTTGAGGAAAATTCAGAAACCTGAGTGAAAAAAAGTTTGCATCACTCTGATATAGATCAGTAGTTTCTGCAGCATCACTTACATGTGGAGTTCCTCAGGGTTCCATACTGGGTCCTGTCACAGTTCTCTGTATACATGTTGCTCTTGGGGTTTATTTGGACACCATGCTAATAGTCATTATATATGTACAAAAATGCTAAAGATTATATATCATCTGTTTAAATTGCATCAAGTTAAGGATAATTTAAAGTTTACTTCATTATAATCAAAACAAAACAGAACATCCTATTTGGGAGGCAAGATTTTGTAGAGAACCCTGATAGTCTCAGAACTTTAGCTTTATTTAGATAGGCTTTTGTTGAAAATCTTGGTTATTAGTTTTTTAAGATTTTATTATTTTGGTTTCATTTTGTGTTCTTGCACAAATTTACTTCTGTAAGTTTGGGCCTCTGTCAGTGTGCCCCAGGGCAGCTGTGGGTACAATTGTAGTTTGCCATCATCAGTGTGTCAATGTGTGTGTGCATGGGTGAATGTCTGTAGTGTGAAGTGCTTTTAGTGTCCTGGATGGATTGAAAGGTGCTATCCATCACAGTCCATTTACCATTTACTTCATCTGGGGCACTGAGGTCAAAGAACCAGATGTCTCAAGATTCACACATGAAAGGTGATCACCTTAGCTCCTCATTAAGGAAAGGATATTTTTACTCCTTATAAAATCTGCTCAGAGTTTAGAACATTTAGAAGCCCAAAAATTCAAAGTCTAAGTAAAGCTTTATAACTTGATTAATTTGTTGCATTTTTATGTGATTTTTGGTATGCTTTTACTCCTTTTTAATTAATTTTGTTCACCAGAACTGAGGTCAGTCTTTGACGTTTGAGATATCATTTTGGTTCTCTTCATTTTGTGAGATTTTTGCCTTACACTTGTGCAGCTTTTAGAAAGTGACATTAACTCTAACGTTTCAGTCTGTTTTTGTTCCTTGCCTGCTCACATCAGACAGTAATCAGTTCTTTCAGCCCACCTGTGCCCACTCATTTGCACCTGTGCTCTGCTCTGTTTAAGCTCCCTCCTGGCACAAACACACCTTGCCAGATTATCCACAGCAGTTCTGTGTGTAGCTGTCCAGTGTTACTACTTTGCCTTTTTGATCTCCTGGTTTCAACCTTGGCTCTACCCTCTGCATTTTCACCCACTTCGGATGTTATCATCCATAAAATGGACGTTATTAGGCATTATCAGTCCCCTAGAATGGCTTCAGAATGTCCCGCCTGTGCCCGTTAGCAGGTTCCCCGTCCCATAGAATGGGCTCCGATTGTCAGCTGGTTAGTGTGAGGCATGAAGCCACTATCTGGTTAACATGAGGCATAAAAAACTGGTTAATATGAGGCTAAAAGCCACTAAGGTTAACTTTAGAGCAAATGACATGGTTAGCGCCAAAGATCCCGCCCTCCAAAGGTTGCATATTGTGGACTTCCAGTAGGGTAATGGGTAGAGTGGTAGAGCAGGTGTCCAGGGTTTGAAGCCGACACAGGCACAAATAATTTATTACACTGTCTTTTGGTTATTTACACATTCATTGTCATTGATACAGTATATTAACCACTAGGGGGCACTGTCGGGACAGTCTGAAGCCTAGAAGGCACAGTAGGGACCCTCTGAAGCCATTGTATGGGACTGATAACGCCTAATAACGTCCATTTCATGAACTGATAACATCAGAATCCCCTGGCATTTTGCTGTTTTGCTTCACCCCTGTCAGACTCTACTTATCTCTGCTTTCTGGACTCAAACCACAAACACTGATTTTGACCTTTGCTTCAGCTCACCCTACGCCTGACCCCCATATTACTGACCCTCTCGCCCACCTCTCACCACGTTATTGCCCACTAGACAGGATTAATCGTTGGAGGAGTGGTGCAGAGAAGTCGTCTGGGGACTTTCCAGTGAGGTCTCTGAGATGCACACGTTAAAAGAGCCGAGCAGTTGATTTGTGTAGGAGTTCCTCCTGAACATTTAGGTAACCAGACCAGAACCAGATTTTTATTAAATCCTTTACATTCTGTGTAGAGTTGAATTATCACATCCTCTGAACCAGACCTTACATAAACACTGTCACTGATGGATTTATTCTAATTCTAGAGATGAATATAATGGATCGATTTTTTAATTTTATTTTTTTTACCTGTAAATACGAAACTGCTCCTTGTCATCAGAGGACCAGGAGGCGTACTCCTCCTCAGAGGGATAGTGGGATTTATGTAGCAACACGTCTACCAGCTGGAAGTAAACAGGCCTGTAGACCTGCAGGTAAACGGCCTGCTTGTCTTCCTCAAATGACAAAATATCATCCTAAAAATTCAACAAACAACCAAACAAAATACCAAAATGTAAAAAGGGAAATTTCCTGTTTCAGACCTTTTTCAGTTCTTGTACCTGCAGCGTGTACCAGAAGGTGAGTGTGAGGGAGCTGGTGGTCTCATTAACTGGGTAGTGTCCTGGGATGCCCGTACAGAACAGAATCATGTTAACCAGAGCCAGGTAATCTCGCCAGTGGTCCAAATGTTCCAGCAGAACCCTGTCAAACACAGGTTAAATTAAAAAAAAAAAACACACATGAAGCTTGTTTTTTGGATGGAAACGTGCACCTGTAGGTACCTGCAGTGTGTTTCTCCCAAAGCAACAGCAATACGACAGATTCCATGAGAGGTTTCCATGTCCCGGTCCTCAACAGCTGTCTTCAGCTGGTCGAAGAGCCCCAGCACCAGAGGCATCAGGCTCAGCAGAGCGTTGGTGTACCTGCTCACAGACGCTACAGTCACGCAGCAAGAAACAAAAAGTCACCTGTGATCCAGTCTGAGTCTCACCTCTGGCAGTCCGGCTGTGAGATGGCGTTCACTATAGTCTCTACTGCTGTATCAAACAGCTCTGAGTTGGACAGCTCAGAGAAACAGTCCTGGACCAGTTCCTGGCTTTCCCCTAATGGGACATCCAGGCTCACCCAGCTGGACAGGCAGCGGAGCACCTTCTCCTTCACCTGACAGGAGGAGTCTTGGCTCTGCAGGAGCTGCTGTAGCACAGTGCACACCACGGCCCACTCCCCGATCAGAGCGTCTCTCAGCTGGGCGCGGCGGTCCCGGGCCAACCGGCTGCTCTGGAACTCCTCTGGAAGCACGGTGAGGAGCTCCAGCAGGGCCAGACAGTGCGCCTGGGGGTCCTGGGAAGTCTTTGCGTCGGAGCCATCTTCAGGGTCAGGTTTCTGCGGTTGGAAAGCCCTCACCATGTCTGCCACCGGCTGAGACCAGGCCTGAGGGATCAGGTTAAGAGCCATGGAGGCCAAGGCCACACAAAGACGAGTCAGCACCATTTTGGGCCCCGAGGAGAAGTGTAAGATATGAGCCAGAAGCTGCATCCTGAGGTTGTCGTGCTGCTCTGAGGGAAGGTCACTCCAGTGATGAGAGATCTTGATGTGGAGGGTGCTGGCACCAAAAAACTGAACCTCTGGGATCTGAAAAAATAAAATAAAATAAAGACAAGAAAAACTTCATTTTTCAAACAGACAAAAACAAAACCAAACCCTGAATAAATAAAACTCATTGGCTACTGCTTTTCACTCCAGAAATTTAAATAAAATCATTTCATGTTGAGAAATGACAGCTTCTCAGCTCCTATTACCAAATTATAGCTTAATATCTGTAAAACTGACAAAATTATAACCATATGCAGCGGGTAAAATAAGTATTGAACATGTCACCATTTTTCTCAGTAAATATATTACTAGAGGTGCTAATGACATGAAATTTTCACCAGATGTCGGTAACAACCCAAGTGATCCATACATACAAAGAAATCAAACCATAAATGTCCAGAAATGAAGTTATTTGTAATAATGTGGAATGGCACAGGGAAAAAGTATTGAACACATGAAGAAAGGGAGGTGTAAAAAGGCATGGAAAGCCAAGACACCAGCTGAACTCTCTCAGTAATTAGAAAGCAAGCCTGTCCCTTGTCAGTGCAAGTTAATATCAGCTGGTTCAGTCCCAAATGATGGCCAGGTATCACACAAGAACCATCTGATGATGGGTAAAAGTAAAGAGCTCTCTCAAGACCTTCACAACCTTATTGTTGCAAAGCATAATGATGGCATCGGTTACAGAAGAATGTCTAAACTTCTGAAGGTTCCAGTGAGCACTGTTGGGGCCATAATTCAGAAGTGGAAAGAACATTATTTCACCATAAACTGACCACGACCAGGTGCTCCTCACAAGATTTCTGACAGAGGAGTGAAAAGAATTATCAGAAGAGTTGTCCAAGAGCCAAGGACCACTTGTGGAGAGCTTCAGAAAGACCTGGAATTAGCAGGTACGATTGTTTCAAAGAAAACAATAAGTAATGCACTGAACCACCATGGCCTGTATGCACGCTCACCACGCAAGACTCCACTGCTGAAGAAACAGCATGTTGAAGCTCCTTTAAAGTTTGCTGCACAACATTTAGACAAGCCTGTGTAATACTGGGAGAATATAGTCTGGTCAGATGAGACCAACATTGAACTGTTTGGATGCCAGAATACACATCATGTTTGGAGGTCAAATGGCACTGCACATCAGCCCAAAAACACCATACCAACAGTGAAGTTTGGAGGTGGGAACATCATGGTGTGGGGCTGTTTTTCAGCATATGGTACTGGCAAACTTCAAATAATTGAAGGAAGGATGAGTGGAAAAATGTACAGAGACATTCTTGATAAAAATCTGCTTCCATCTACCAGGATGATGAAGATGAAACGTGGCTGGACATTTCAGCAAGACAATGAGCCCAAACACAAAGAAAAGGAAACTCTCAGTTGGTTTCAGAGAAAGAAACTAAAGCTGCTGGAATGGCCCAGCCAATCACCTGACCTGAATCCAACAGAAAATCTATGGAAAGAACTAAAGATCAGAGTTCATAGAAGAGGTCCACGAAACCTTCAAGATTTGAAGACTGTTTGTGTGGAAGAATGGGCCAAAATCACACCTGAGCAATGCATGCCACTAGTTTCTCCATACAGGAGGCGTCTTGAAGCTGTCATTGACAACAAAGGCTTTTGTACAAAGTATTAGATAAATTTCAGTAAGTGTGTTCAATACTTTTTCCCTGTGCCATTCCACATTATTACAAATAACTTCATTTCTGGACATTTCTTTGTATTTATGGATCACTTGGGTTGTTACCAACATCTGGTGAAAATTTCATGTCATTAGCACCTCTAGTAATATATTTACTGAGAAAAATTTTGACGTGTTCAATACTTATTTACCCACTGTATGTGTTTTCTTAGGTCAGCTGGCTGACGTTTCCATTCCATCATGGCTGCCCTTTACTGAGAGTGCCTGATGTCTGGCTGGATTCATTGAGAGATGCTTGCTCTTTCTGGTTAAAATCCACTTTCTTTAAAGAATAAAGTTAAAACCTAACTAATCCTATTCCTCCTCCTTTCTTTTCTCTTAAACCTGCCCGTCCAAAACTTTAAGAAATAGTGCCAAAAACAAATGGTTTATTAACCTTAAACCAAAAAGTTTGTCGTTAAACTTTTTATAGGAAATTTGATTGTCCACAATAAGTTGTATATTAGTGATTTGTTTTGATTCTGTAAACAAATTATCTCATTTACTTTTTAGATCAAACTAGTCACTGAGTCACGCTCATCTTAGTGTAGTTTGTCCATTCATTTTGCACGGAAGAGATATCTACTGAAAATAGAAGATCCCGTTGTAAATAAACTTCCTTTACAACTTTGTTATTAGAGGGGGTGCACCCCTACAACTACAAAAGTTTTTCAGCTGTAGAAGTACATTCACTGATTACTTTTTCATGTTTTATTGGAATTTGTTCCCTGGTTTATGAGATGTTTTACTAAAATGGCAGACAAACGAACACACACAGGCTAAAACTTTACTGCCTGCCTTATGCCAATCGGTGATAAGAGATGTGCAGCTGTAGGGGCAGGGAGAGCACAACCTTGTCTGGCCTGAGCAGGAGCCAGCAGAACTGCCAGGCCTGAGCCGAGGCCTGGGTCTGGGTCAGCCACTTCTGAGCCACGTTCTTACGCTCCATGTCGGGATCAAAGTACAGCTGGTACAGAGCCTGGAGGAGGGAAACAGCCAGATGAAATTTGCATACAGTGACGAGAACACAGCTGTGATTGGACAAACATCACACTTTGGTTAGGGCTGTAAAACAACTTTGACTTATTTATTTGTTCAGGTGTTGCGTGTTCTCTGGGGCTGTGCTTTTATTCCTGTGAATTTAAATGAGATAAACTGATTTTGCGATAAAGATCTCACAGGGTGCACTGCAAAAACTGTCCATCTTACCAAGTTTTAAAACCTTATTTAAGCCAAAAAGTCTTTTTGATCTTGTTTTGAGACTGATTTACTAAACAAGAACTGATTAAGAATAATCTTGTTTTCAGAATGTGTCAGATTATTTGTCTTGTTAGCCTGAAAATTTGACTCAAATTAAGTCAAAAAATTTCTGCCAATGGAATAACAAAATTTTACT